GGCTGGTCGTCTCCCAGCGTCGGCCCGCGGCGGAGTTCGCCTGCGATCGCCGCTCCCTTTCCCTCGCCTGCCTCTGGCCTCTCCCAGCTGCAGAGGCGAGGGCTCGCCGCTCCCTCTCCTTTCTCTCTGGCTGCCGCCTCACTCTTCCTTTCCTTCTACTCCCAGTTTTGGGGACGGGGCGGCTGGAGGTTGAGGAAGTGCGCCCAGGGCCGCCGCCCCGGCCGCGGTGGCTCCGTCTCCCGCTCCCTGCACGCCCACCCAGCCGGCGGGTGGAGGGGCTGCCGCGAGCACCGCGGCGCAAGGCACCCGGGCGCGGAACCGCGAGCTTTTCCGGAGGGGCTGTCACGCCCGAGGACTCCGGCCCCGCCAGCCTGGCGGCCCTGCGTTTGCCTCTTACTGGGTTTAAATCGCCCGGCAGGGGTATGGAAGGAATACCGCTCCCCCCACTCCCCAGCTCCCCCTCCCACCCTTCCTTTCGAGGTTGTTTTTTCCTTTTAGCTGAGACAAACGCTTAGACCTTTCATTCATAGACCTGAGACAGTGACTCATGTGACTTGTGTCTTTACTAAGTGTATTATGTGATGCCTGTTCCATAGCTCCTAAGTGGCTCGGAAAGGTAGGGTAGGGCCCAGAATTGGGCTATGTAAACACCAGATGTTCAGCCGGCGTGTTTTTGACCTCGGCTTGAGGGGTTTATTTTAGGATGCTAAACGAATAGTGATGGTGGCCAACCATGTTACCAGACGTGGGAATCGAAAGCTATTTTTTTTATGTCAATAATTGAGGCTATTTACATAGTTAAATAAAGGGTAAAGGGAGCGCAACAAGAGGGGCTTTCTAGAAAACAGTCTGCATATTCTTTAATGAATTAGAGTTGTGATTTCATCTTGGTGAAGCTTCCTCATTCCAGCACTGCGCCTTTGTGCACATGCAGGACCTGGGTTTTCGGAGCGATGTTTTGAATCGTAGTTTGTGTGGCCGGGAAGAACCCTTTAGAATACTTGGGCAGGTAAATTCCAGGTTATCTCAGGGGATCGTGTCTACTGCGACTTTTGAACCACTGAGGGCAGTATTGGTCATATGTTATCCTGCTTAGAAATTGAATTTTTCTGAGTATTTGCTTACATTGCACCGTACAAAATTTATGTGCTGGATTGCGTGTTTTAAGACGACTTCTGGAAAATACTCAAAATACCGTGTTGCTAAGTTAGTTTGGATAAATCCAAACACTTTGCTCTCAAAGCAACTACAGTCTTAACAATTTAATGTGTCTGTGTATTCAGGTTTTAAGTTTTTTTTTTTTTTCTTTTAACTAAAGCACTGAAGCTCGATTGACAGCATAGATCTCTATCTAAATATCACATGTTCTGGAAAATTTTAATTATCAGATTAACTGTTCTGCAGTGTCATCAGCCAAAATTATCTGAGAAGGACTCTGTGTGTGTGTGTGTGTGTGTGTGTGTGTGTGTGTGTGTGTTGGTGTTTTGCTTAAGTTTTTTCATCTCACATTTTGGGACAAAATAAAACTTCATAACTTTTTTCAAAAGTTTCTTGTGCTTTTTCAAAATAGAGTACGTTGCTATTAAAATCGTAAAAAAGGTGATAAAAAGTGATAGCATATCGTAATAATAGCATCATGGGGGAAATAACAAAGTAAAGGAATATTAATATTGTATGATTGTGCATGTAAAGTTTTAAAGACATTCCTGTCAGTTTTAAATAATTAAAAATGAAACACCTATAAATGTAAAAGAGTGTTTTTATTTAAGGTTAAAACTTTTAACTAAATTGGTTATAGCATTAAGGAGATGTCACTAAATACAAATATTGTACTTAAACTGAAAAATGGCTTCATGAAAGTGTAAATTGTCATGGACCTTGATATATTTAAAAGGGAGACTGTGAAAGTGCAGTGGCTTTACTTGCTCTGTGCATGGAACAGCCTTTCTGATAGTAGAGCTTCCTTCCTGTCAGAATAAAGTCCTCTCCATCCCAAATCTGTATCCCCTTAAAAAATAAAACAAAAAAACCCCTAAACTTATAAATAATATATAACATAAAGTAGATTGTAATAACTTTTTCTCTAAACCAGTTTACTTTGTGTGCCACTTCTTCTAAGTGCCCTTTACTAAATATTTTTAAACAGTTACAATTACCATTTAAAGGACACTTGCTCTGTTGATCTGTTTATTTGAAGAGAGGTAATTTAATCCCATTTGATCTCTTGAGCAGGTACAATAGCATTAAAAGGATCAGTTCTCTATTTTATTATTTTATATCTTGAATTCCAAGACGGGTGATTCTTTAAATGAAGTGTGTTTTTTAAGCATTATAAAATATTTTGTCTGCAGTGAAAATATTTACAATCTTAAAAATTATTCAGCTTTAGAAGTATATGTCTTAGAATGTCATGGTTTACATTTTATTAGCACAGTTATCAAATAGTTTTTCTTAAGTATTACTTACCTTGAGCTATATTAACAGTGCCATAGACAGAGTGGTATTACTATCCCTAAGAAATGGTATTCTAATCTGAAGTCAGTTGGCAGGTGACAGACTCATTGACAAAACCAACATTTGCCGACTCCTTTCACTGTATCATGCCGCGTCTAATCTCCAGCCTGTTTTTTAATAGAACTGAAGAAATCAGTTCTATTTCTTCAAGGAGGCTTAATTACTGAAGATCTCCATTTCCCATATTTGCAGTAATATCTTTATTTAATTTCCTTTACATCATAAACAGTGGTTTTCAATCCTGGCTACATATTAGAATAATCTAGGGAGCTTTTTAAAAGTACTCTGGTCTCATCCCCAGAGATCGTGATTAATTGGCCTGAGATAGATCCCAGTTATCTGTGTTTTTGTTTGTTTTGAAGTTCACCAGGAAATGCTAATAGAAAAGAATGTAAAACCCTGGCTGTCAACGACCTGTATGATTTGGTCCTTGCTTCTTTCTCTAGGTTTATTTCTCCTCCCTACTCCTGCAGCTCCCTTGGTTTTTTCACACTCTCCTGTGCAAATACAGTTTGTACTTCCTGAGACATTTGAACACTCCATTCTCCTTCCTTGACTGGTTGACTCCTACTGATCTTTCACATCACCTCCTTTGAAAAGTCTAGTCTGGGTTAGGTGTCCCTGCTTCCTGTTCCTATAGCATCTTGTACTCCCACTGTCATAGCATTAACCTCACTGCATTGTAATTGCCTATTTCTTTGTCCATATCCTCTATTAGGCTGTAAATTCCATGAGGATAGGGACTCCTATCTTATATACTGTACAGTTGTATTTTTATTGCCAAGCATAGTAGCCTGTAAATTATAGCACTTGACTGAACAAATAAATATAGTAGAGACAGAATTCTTTAAAACATATAGTGATTCATAAGCACCAGTTTTTATTCTTGCCAATTTCATTTAATATTTTTGGTCACTAAAAATGTACAACCCTGAAATTGCCACACATATGAATTTCATTTGGGGACAGTTGAAATGTTATAAAATATATAGAGTGGCATTCCACCTCAGACAGATACACACACACACAAAAAATGAAGATTATTATCATGTATGGTACTGCACTGGAAATAAGGAGACTTGAATTCTTCCCCTGTTTCACCACAGACATTTGGACACATCTCAATCTCTTTGGGTGTCATGTATAATATAGAGGGATTGTACTAGATGCTCTACGTGGTTCTCACTGATCTAGCCTTAAAATTCTGCATCAACAGTATTGGCTTTGGAATCTGAGGCACCATGGTTCAAAACTTAGTTCTTCAACTTACTAGCAGGATTACTTTGGACAGATTTTCTTATCTGTAATGGGGGTAATTACTCTTCAATAGAGTTGTTGAATTAAATGAGATAATGTAGATCCAAGAGAGTTCTTGACCTGGATCGGGTGGTTAATAAATGTTCATTTCCTTTCTCCTTAGGAGGTGTTAGATCTCATGAGTGGACTTATCTGAGATAACAGAAGGACACAGTTTACGTAATAAATCCTATTTTCCACTCTGCTGACTGTTAGCACTGCAGGTGTGATTAGGGACCAAAAAACGCTGTGACATTTGGTTTCAGTCTCTCAGAACCCCATTCCACTGTCAAACACTCAGGTGTTAGTCAGCCTGCTTGGGAAATAATTATGCCTGGAAGTTTCAACCAAGAGAGGATAGCAAGTGCCAAGCTATTCATATATATATATATGATAATATGGGGGAGGGTAGAGTCTAAACTGATGAATTTACACTATATCCAAAGATAAGTAACATCAGACGTTATCATTCTAAAAAATGGGAACAAATTAAAATTAAGAATGATTTATAAAAGAAAATCCAAAGATTTTGGTGAAATCTCTGTTCACCAAACCTTAAATCAGGAATCATTATGTAGTAATTTTCAGGTGATGCAAGAAATATAGGAAAATTTGGTCTTCTGGTCAGGACTAATTCCAGAAGATAGGCACAAATAATGTTTTCAATGTCAGATTAGCAGTTACAGATATCAGCAGACTGAAGTTGTTGATACTTTTCTCTACTTAGGAACCATATTTTAAAATTTAATATAGCGTTATATATATCACTTTTATTTATTTGGTAATATTGAAAGTAAACTTATGCAGAATGTCATATAGGTTGGACATCCCTAATCTGAAAATCTAAAATTTTATATGCTCCAAAATCTGAAACTTCTTGAGTGCCAACATGTGACCATTAGTGGAAAATTCTACACCTGACACCTTTGCTTTCTGGTGGTCCAAGGTACACAAACTTTGTTTCATGCATACAGTTATTTAAAATATTGTATTAAATTACCTTCAGCCTGTGTGTATGAGGTGTATGTGAAACATAAATGAATTTTGTGTTTAGACGTGGGTCCCCAATAGATCTCATTATGTATATGCAAATATTCCAAAATCTGAAATCTGAAACATTTCTGGTCTCCAGAGTTTCAGATAAGGGATACTCATCCTGTAACATTTGCTCTGCAGAAGTTTCTTGTTACCAGTCTTATTTTTGTATGAATCAAATTTGCTCGCCTGAGTTTTCCTTTAAGTTTATGTGTAATTGAATTTTATAAGTAACTTATTTGGAATAAATACTGTAATAAAAATTAAAAACTGTGGATAGGGGAAACTGACGCGTTAGGATATAAAAGAGAAATATGAGGCAATATATAGTTAAAGTCTGAGGATTCAGCTTCAAGGCTAGAGATTTCCATCATTCAAAAAGATTACTCAGCTATTGGATATACTACTAATATTTTATCACTATATACCTTATTCACATTTAATTCTTTATTATATGAATCAGTTGATTCTGGTTAAGGACTTTTTAGGTGTTCTTTCTTTCCCTCTCTACCTATATAGTTCAGGGAGTTTTAAGTTAAAATACTCCTATAAAAAGTTTGTAAGTTTGTAATAAAAGTGGTGGCTTAGAGCTATCTTTTTCTTCAAATAGTTCTTAAAGTGAAACTGTTTCTAATATGTATTAGAGAGCTCTGGTTTAGATGCCTAAAACAGGGGTCCCCAGCCCCCTGGCCAGCAGACCCAGTACCTGTCCCTGGCCTGTTAGGGACCAGGCTGCACAGCTGGAGGTGAGCAATGGGACCAGCATTGCTGCCTGAGCTCTGCCTCCTGTCGGAGCAGCAGCGGCATTAGATTCTCTAGGAGTACGAACCCTATTGTGAACTGCACATGCAAGGGATCTAGGTTGCCCGCTCCTAATGAGAATCTAATGCCTGATGATCTGAGATGGAACAGTTTCATTCCCAAACCATTGCCCCCACACTTCCCCAGTCCCTGGAAAAATTACCTTCTACGAAACTGATCCCTGGTGCCCAAGAAGTTGAGGACCACTGGCCTAAGGGACTAAATTCCCCTTCAGACTGCTACTTTGTGTATGTGTATAGTGGGGGGCTGATTGTAACACATTTTTGTGTCTTTTTCTGTATTGATACAATAGGAATTGTAATGTGTTGCTTGCTAAGTAACATAATTAATGAGATAAT